TGTACCGTAGCATTAGCAGAATACATGCGAGCCGGGGGACGGAAGAAAAGCCATACGCCGTCCCGACAGCAATTCCAAACGGCCCTGGTCGATACGAATTTTCAGGGGCATCTTGCCGAGAAAATCAGTCCCTAGCAAGCACAGGACAGCCAGGGCCGTGGAAACCAATACATGGACCGACAATTGGACATCGGCAATGCGTAATGCAATGGAGATCCGACCAATAATCCCCAACGATCCGCCGTTAGCGGCGAAACACGGAGCATCCACCGGCTTCAAAACCCGACACCAGGGGGGGCAAAATGTTGTAAATTAGCTCGGAGATAATGGTTCAAGACGCGCCGGTATCCACAAGCATGTGCACCTCAACCCCCTCAACGAACCCAAGCACGGCCGACGATCCCGCAGTCGCCGCGACCACGCGAACCACCAACTCCGACCACTGATCTGGTCGGAGCTGCCATGCGTCGCGAACACGCCCCCGACTCCCCCCAAACCCGCGCGCAATCCCCCCGCAAATCGGACCTCCCCAATGAGTGAAGTGAACCCCCGGGGCCGAGTGCGAGGTGTGCCGCGACTCGCCTGAGGAGTATGGAGTTGTAGGAAGTCGGACGTCCCAGAGCCCGCCGTCGAGGAACCCGGCAGCCCAACTGGACATGCCCCGGCAGCCCGCAGTTGTAGCAGGTGACCCGTCTGTCGCTGGTTCGGGACGAAAAAGACCTCGCCCGCCGCCGGTCGTACCACCGCCGATCTCCATCACTCCCACGATCGGCTCTCCGCTGATGCAGCGAGCACGCGGACGCAGGCTCTCCGTCCGCGTGGGCCTTGGGCTCCACGGGAGACATGTAGCACGCCACCAACACCCTATCACACTGTAGGGTCTGCTGCGCCTGTATACACCTGGCGATCTTGAGCGAAGAGACCTCCCCATCCTCGGGGGGAAAGCACAGTATGGAGATTCTTGGCGAGCTCCAACATTTTCTCGAGGACCAAGGAGTCAAGGCCATCGTGATCCATTCGCGGAAATGCGGCCTTCACCAGCGCTAAAAGCGCACTCCTGTAGGTGAGGGTCGATTCACCATCCCCTGTCCGCCTCACGGCGAATATCTGATCGGTGTTTAGTGGAGGCTCAAAAGTGGCGGCCATCTGGTCAAACGCCTGCGTGAGGGTGGACCTCTCGGACAGCAGGATGGCGAGGAATGCCGCTAATGCATCATCGTCAAGGGCGGCGGGGAGCGCCTTCAGCGCGTCCGCCTCTGACCACCCCGCCACGTCGGTATTCGTGAGAAATCGCCTCGTAAATTCCACCCAATCGCCGCTGGCGGCAACAAATTATTTAATGAAGGGCAGCCGACGGCGAAGCGACTGGACGTCGAATGACGAGGACGTCCCCGCTTCAAGCTTGGCGGGCTCCGCATTTCCCGCCAGAGGCAAAATGGTGCCCGCGAGCGTGGGCAGCGGCGATGGCGTTTCTGCCCTTTGTGAAATGGCGGCAGAGTCGCCCCATCCGGACGGCTCCACTGCCCCTTCGTTCGCCGTCGAGGGTAGGGACCGCATTTCGAAGAGGATGGAGGACGTCACTTGGAGGAGGTCAGCGAGACAGCCATGCGTGTCCCTGACAAGCTCTTCCACTGAAGGCGAGGTGCCCCGCGCCCCGACTGCGACCTGCTCCTCGGGTAGCGTCTCTGCTCCATCCTCGGCGGCCGTGAGCGGAATCAGCTCATTGTCGTCTTTGTCGTCCAACGCCCGTACACGAACTCTGCGACATGTAGACATAACTCGTCTACCGCTAGCTACAGCCTAGCAAGTTGGCCACTTCTGACACCAGTTGTAGTGAGTCCAACTGAGTCGCAGACGTTTTCTTGAGAGCAACACTATTTATTCCGCATTAACACGCAACACAACACGATCTACACTCGGGTCTCGAATGCCCATCTAGCCACGCTATGGCAGAACTAGACACGGTTCGCTCTCCCGGTCCGGACCACAAATGGGGTCCCGGACCGCGTGGCTAGAGGCTTCTTCTCCCCGACGTGGATCTTTGTAACACCAGCCCACGAAGAACCCCGAGCTCCTCACGAGGCCCTCGTTATATACCCCCGGGCTGGGGCTGGCTCCGCCCTTCGCCCCGCCCACCTTCCAGGTCTCTCCAGCTCCTCGAAAATTCCTGAGAGCTCCTCTGGACCACGTGACCGCCCCATGGCCCTCGTCCACCGGTAGCCCCCCTCCAATATCGTCCAGTCACGTGACAGCAGGTCAAACAGCGTATCATGCCCCAAGATAACCCTTGCTGGCTGACTCTCACTCTCACTTCCTCACCAGGTGCCCACACCGCACACTGCTCGCGGTGCCTCCGCGCTAACCAGCGCTCACCCAAGCCCCACTAGGGCTGGTACTACATCCCGTAACCCGGGCTGCCCGTAATGACAACGCATTACCGGTCGTGGCTTCGCAAGTCCCGGCACCATACAGTGACAAGCACAGTCACTGCACAAGTAAAGTACTTGTGGCATTAAAATACTTGCCCTTGCTGCAATTAGAATATGGATTTCTATTGCCGGTTTCGGAGCCAAGAATGGAGATAAGTTCTGTTGTACAACGAGACACTTTGACACTTTTGGTTTAATTTATTTGGTTGAGGGGGAAGCAGTGTGTGCACGTCGGTAAGGCTATTAGCAATTCATATTCAGATACAACAGCAGAATCGCATACACCTGACGTGATGATAAGCTTAATGCATTCAGTGATATTCCTGGAATTGAATGTTAGAAATACGAACAAAGCAAAAATGGTATTCAGGCAGTGGGAGCTATGTTTGTGTGTGTGCACAGTAGCTTGGTGTATGATAACCTCACACGTGTGTGGGCACTGTCTATGTTAACCTGACCTGTGTGTGTGTTTGCCTGTGGACTGTGTGTTGACCTCACCTGTGTGTACTGTGTTGACCTCACCTGTGCGTGTATTGTGTTGACCTCACCTGTGTGTGTACTGTGTTGACCTCTCCTGTGTATAGTGTTGACCTCACCTGTGTTAACCTCACCTGTGTGTAGTGTTCACCTCACCTGTGTGTACTGTGTTGACCTCACCTGTGTGTGTATTGTGTTGACCTCACCTGTGTGTGTACTGTGTTGACCTCTCCTGTGTATAGTGTTGACCTCACCTGTGTTAACCTCACCTGTGTGTAGTGTTCACCTCACCTGTGTGTACTGTGTTGACCTCACCTGTGTGTGTACTGTTTTGACCTCTCCTGTGTATAGTGTTGACCTCACCTGTGTTGACCTCACCTGTGTGTAGTGTTCACCTCACCTGTGTGTACTGTGTTGACCTCACCTGTGTATGTACTGTGTGTTAACCTCACCTGTGTGTACAGTGAGGGAAAAAAAGTATTCGATTCCCTGTTGATTTTGTACGTTTGCCCATTGACAAAGAAATGATCAGTCTATAATTGTAATGGTAGGTTTATGTGAACAGTGAGAGACAGAATAACAACAACAAAATCCAGAAAAAACGCATGTCAAAAATTTTATGAATTGATTTGCATTTTAATGAGGGAAATAAGTATTTGACCCCTCTGCAAAACATGACTTAGTACTTGGTGGCAAAACCCTTGTTGGCAATCACAGAGGTCAGACGTTTCTTGTAGTTGGCCACCAGGTTTGCACACATCTCAGGAGGGATTTTGTCCCACTCCTCTTTGCAGATCTTCTCCAAATCATTAAGGTTTCGAGGCTGACGTTTGGCAAATCGAACCTTCAGCTCCCTCCACAGATGTTCTATGGGATTAAGGTCTGGGAACTGGCTAGGCCACTCCAGGACCTTAATGTGCTTCTTCTTGAGCTACTCCTTTGTTGCCTTGGCCGTGTGTTTTGGGTCATTGTCATGCTGGAATACCCATCCACGACCCATTTTCAATGCCCTGGCTGAGGGAAGGAGGTTCTCACCGAACATTTGACGGTACATGGCCCCATCCATCGTCTCTTTGATGCGGTGAAGTTGTCCTGTCCTCTTAGCAGAAAAACACCCCCAAAGCATAATGTTTCCATCTCCATGTTTGACGGTGGGGATGGTGTTGCGAGTTGAGTTGATGCCAAAGGGCTCCATTTTGGTCTCATCTGACCACAACACTTTCACCCAGTTGTCCTCTGAATAATTCAGATGTTCATTGGCAAACTTCAGACGGGCATGTATATGTGCTTTCTTGAACAGGGGGACTTTGCGGACGCTGCAGGATTTAATTCCTTCACGGCGTAGTGTGTTACCAATTGTTTTCTTGGTGACTATGGTCCCAGCTGCCTTGAGATCATTGACAAGATCCTCCCGTGTAGTTCTGGGCTGATTCCTCAACGTGCTCATGATCATTGGAACTCCACGAGGTGAGATTTTGCATGGGGCCCCAGGCCAAGGGAGATTGACAGTTCTTTTGTGTTTCTTACATTTGCGAATAATCGCACCAAGTGCTGTCACCTTCTCACCAAGCTGCTTGGAAATGGTCTTTGTAGTCCATTCCAGCCTTGTGTAGGTCTACAATCTTGTCCCTGACATCCTTGGAGAGCTCTTTGGTCTTAGCCATGGTGGAGAGTTTGAAATCTGATTGATTGATTGATTGCTTGTGGACAGGTGTCTTTTATACAGGTAACAGGCTGAGATTAGGAGCACTCCCTTTAAGAGTGTGCTCCTAATCTCAGCTCGTTACCTGTATAAAAGACACCTGGGAGCCAGAAATCGTTCTGATTGAGAGGGGGTCAAATATATATTTCCCTCATTAAAATGTAAATCAATGTATAACATTTTTGACATGCGTTTTTCTGGATTTTTTTTGTTGTTATTCTGTCTCTCACTGTTCAAATAAACCTACCATTAAAATTATGGACTGATCATTTCTTCGTCAGTGGGCAAACGTACAAAATCAGCAGGGGATCAAATACTTTTTTTCCCCTCACTGTATGCGCGCGTGCATATTGCATGTTGACCTTACCTGTGCGTACGCGTTGGGTGTGCAGGCGAGGCTGAAGGCGAGGTCACTCCACTGGCGTGCCTCCCGGCTAAGGTGGGCCACGAACACGACCCCAGCGAGCTTCTGAGCCCAACGGGAGAGCAGGAGAAGTGCTCGCTCGCCTGTTTCCAGAGACACCCCCAAACCGCCAAAAATCAACCCTAAACATTCAGCGTCTTGCGTCATCTCCATCATCATCATCACCCCCACCGTCTTGGTCGCAATCATCAACCCTTTGTTAAGCAGCAGCTGTCCTTCCACCGTATTGGTTTATTTCTAATCTCGGGAATCGTTCGTCAAAATCACTCGATATTGTCAAGGTCGTGTCGACCTCGCCTTGTGCAGCCACCGGCCCTGCAGCGTCGGTGAGCTGTGGGGGATGGGGGGGAGGGAGAGCGCCGTTTGGCTACAAAAGAAGTCGGTGCCATTACTTCTCCGTGCTCGACTGCTGATTGGAGTATTATGCCGCTGTCTTCATTGCGGCATTTGCCATTTGGCAGTAAGTGCTTTGTTCCAGGGGTGAGGCGTGGAAGAGGATGGTGTTGAATTGAAGACTCGCTTTGTCCAGAGGGTTCCAATAAAACATCAATTCGTGATCATTAGCCCACAGGCGTGCTGCCTAAGTCTGGATCTAACGTCCTGCCCCTTGTTACATCTACTTTGTTTCACCGGACAATAGCCAGCAATGTGATGTATTAATGTCTTACCAAGTGGACACGCAAAAGCGGTTTTGTTTTTCTATTTTACGTGCTGCCTTCTGAACACATAAGCTGTAGATAAAATGTACAAGCTTGGATGAGCCACGTGTTTTAACAGCCTATAAAGTCGCCACACCACTTGGGTTGGTATGACCCAATGGAAAATCAATGAAGCATGACTTCTGCTTTTGCAAGGTATGGGTTTCCGACACTCTGATTCTTGTGATACACCCATGGTGTATGCCTTTCGACGCACACCAGTTATTTCTCTGTTTTAATATAAATCAAGTTGTTACATGCTGAACATGCCTGGTGATAAGTAAACATGTACCATCAAATGTAGAGAGGGCAATGTAATTTGAATTGGCATTCTCCATACATCGTGTGAGACATACTCGCCACACATAGGATCTCGATCTCAACTTGAATTGGCGCTGTCTGCATCGTGTGGAACTTGTTTACTCGTCATCAGGAATGTGCGGCATTTATCAGCAACAAATACTTTTGTCAGAACCCCCAGTCAGGCTTCGCACAGCAAGAGATCATCCATGCTCCCTTGCCACCCCCGTGGTCTGGAGCTCCCAGCCATCCCTGCTGTCCACTCACTGCCTCTGTTTAATGACTGACTGCTTCTATAAACATACCCGTTTTTTCTGTACAGTTGGGTATATTCTCTAAGGGAAACCTTCTTTTCGAGGAGACGCATAGGGCTCATTTTTGTCCACAAGACCTGGGCGGTCATTTGATTGCATAGTTCATTTCTAACTGTGATCGCCACGAATCCAGGATCGTTCTAAATCTGCTTTCGCTGATTTCATTTACAGACAGAAGCGTGCGTCAAAAGATCGGGAGCGAATTTTTTTTTAATACCTGTCCTGCTTTAATCAAAACGTGACGCTGCAGTGCTCACACTTACTCGAACAGAATGAATCAAATGCCTTCCCTCACAGACACATCTCTCCGAACTGCCTCATGTTTCCCGTGTGCTGCTGCTGCTGCTGCTAATAACCCAGATAATTCAGCGGTTGATCAGGAGAGGAGCCAATTACTTCACGCAATCACACCCCACCAATGAATACCCTCACTGAGCCTCTGCAGAGGTGTCATCGCCTGGGGCTTATGAGTGCCACGGGGAATTCTACCTGCATCTCCTCCGTCGTGTGTGTTTGCTTTGGGGTGATTGGCATGAGAGGCTCGGCATGTGCAGCTCTCTCGGGCTCATCTGTGCGGCGCAGCACCCTGGGTTTCACCGAACACTGGGGCTGGAGGTCAGCTCCCAAGCTCATCCATGGAGTGATTTTCATTGTTTTGTCACATGCAGCATTTGAGCAATGTTTTCACAAACGTTTTTTCTTTTTGTAAGGCAGCAATGCAATGTCCCATTCCTAACACCGACGTTAGCGCTCCAGTTTAAGGTTTGTGCCTTTGTAATGTTCGCCACAATTTTGAGGCTGTGTGACTAAAAATGCATTTCCATGCAGTGAAATCTAACATTACCTTAAAGTCTTGAGTCATATCGACATACGCATTACAACCCATTGTCTGCGTATTAACTAAGGGCCTTACATTTTTTACCTGCAATGTCCCTCTAAACTTCTGTACAAAAAGTTGACTTTCCTGCACAAGGACTCATTCTATCATACCTGAGAGTTTATCGATTGAAATATTAAAAAAAAAGATTTTTATCCTTAACAAAAGCGTGCAGTATTTTTATTTCAAAATAATATTTTTTTTAAAAACGCATTATAGTTTGGTGATATACGTTACTGAATTCCACCTCCTGGGCCCCAAATATCACATTTCATATGCATCCGTTTTTAAATGTCATACGTACGGTGATTAATATTTTTATAATGTGTAAAGCACCCAATGCAAACCTTATCTGGAGCGCTGGACGTTATGGTTGGATGCTTTAATACATTTTGTGGCCTCATCCCATCGGCATGCAAAGTCAATTCTTGTGAACGAGAAGAAAAAAAAACTCATCACATTTGCCAAGAACACTGCGTTAAAGGAGGCGGTGTTATTAACGAATTTGTAGTGTCTGCTTGGTTGTAAACTATTTGTGCACCGCTGCCAGTGCAGCATCACCAATTAATGCGTGTTAACTTGTGAAGGAGGCCAATTGCGTGTCCTTCAAAGATGATGTGCCATCCATTGTTATACTTCTTTTAGCTTAGCTCTCTTAATTCTGTATGCCGCACGAGTCTGATGTACGTTTAGAAGTCACGTGTTAGCTGACGCGCCCACTGGCTTCTTGCCCGTACGCTCACGCGTCGGGTTTCACGTGTTTGGTGACCCTATTTCTTGGTTCAAAATATTAGGTCAACACTTAGATTGTTTGTCAACGACCTTTGTTCACCTATAGAAAAAAATATTGTGGTTATAGCCAATTGGGAACTTGGTTAAAATGATCAAAAATCAAAGTCAATCATCGCAATGATGTACTGCATAAATGAGATGCATATTAAATAACGTTCTTCATGCACCGAGAATGAGGCAGAATTTGCATTACAGCCAACTGACCTTCACTGCTGCGTAATTAATATTCTGTGTGCAGTATGCTGTGAAGTACAAACAGTACAAACACAGATATTTAATAACAATAAAATGTTTTAATAATAATTTTTAAAAGCACGGCCTGGTGTAGGCCAATAAGTTTCAAAGACAATGCCATATATTATCAGAACATGTTTGTTTGCATGTTCACCACAAGTACGTGTGGTTAATGCAGTACTTAATACTTTGCTAAAGGTTTCTATTCGGTGTTTGAATATGTTAACACCTGTTTTATTGTCAGAAAGGGTAACACCTTATTATTCATAATTACATGCAGCAGCATCGGGCGATTTTGGCAGAATTCTGGAAAAATCGCCCGATGCTGCTGAAGGAGTAACTAATTGGCGCGTTTTGTTTACGAGACAACCCTTATTTGTCGGCTGTGTCTGGTGGTGGCAGGTAAACGACACACGTATACTTACGCGATCTAACCCAAAAACCTTGAATGCACAAAGCTCTGGTTCATATTCTTGGTTCTTTCGGTAAAGTCACGTAGAAGGAAAATAATAAAAGAATACAAATTAAACAATAAAATTCTCAAAATTTGAAAAAGTGGCTACTTTTTTTGAAAAAAGTGGCTACTTTTTTCAAATTTTCTTGCTGTGGTTTTCACACCTGATGATGATTGCTTGTGTTGCAATCGAAACGTAGTGAGAATTTTATAGTCTTATTATTTTATTATTTCCCTTCTACGTGACTTTACCGAAAGAACCAAGAATATGAATCCCTGCAGTCACGAAAGCTTTAAATCGAAATAAAAGCTCTGGTTTACAAACAGCGTGAACATCGCATGCCACATTCTCTAATCCGTTCAGCCCGTGTGCTCCAAGGTTGCACTTTTCCAAGTGTGTGTGTGTGTACACAGTCAGGGCTGGATTCAGTTTGATGGAGACCCCGGGGCTGCTAAAGTTTTGTGGGCCCTTTTTGTGTACATGTCCCTCGTTATTCGCGAGGGACACGTTCCGGAGACGCCCGTGAATAGCACATGTCGCGGATAATAATTATAATGGACTACGAAAACCCATATTTTGTAATTAATTACATTAGACAAATGCATAAATAAGCTATTACATACGTGAACATTATTATAATAACATCTCTTTATCTCATCACTTTATCTTTCATCCACTTCATTTCTATCGATACGGTCATGTAAGAGTTCCAGGTGTGACTCGCGGATAGCCAATATCGCGTAGAGCAAATTCGCGTATAACGCGGGAATACTGTGTTAAATTCCTTCCCTTTGCCATCGATCCACCACCTATGCCCAACGCCAAACACTCCCTTGTTTTTTAACTTTGGTTATTTTAGTTACAGTTTTCAAAACGTGATTGCAAATCTCAAGCTTTGATCAAAGTTAAAATTAACGAAACTATTTGTTGGCACATAACTAGTAGTATTACACATGGTGATGCTGTGGCTTTAATTCAGTCACCTAAATTATGTATCATAGTGCTATGGTATTGTGTTTCAACCATTTTAAAGCAGTATTTGATATATTTTTGGGGGCCCTCCCCTGTGTTAATCTGTCCCTGTGCATAGTACTGCAATATCAAATTACATTTACACCACATCCCTCATTAAAGGGCACGATACAGCATACAACGAGCAACACGTTAAGCACAGTGTAGTGAACTCCTCCCTTGTTTTAAAAGAAGAGGTCCCATATTGGCAAGCTGGTCATTCTGCTCCCAGATACATCGCTGTGAAGTGCCAGCCAAACACTTCGTTTAGGAAACGCTTACGCAAGCCTTTAAATGTTGAATACCCATCATGGAGATATTTTGCACTGATATTGGCCAAGGTGAAAGTTTTGGAGGAAAAAGACTGAATTGTATTTGTAACATTTGGATTTAAAGCTTTCGTGACTGCAGTAATTCATATTCTTAGCTCTTTCGGTAAAGTCACATTGAAGGGAAACAATAAAATAATAAAATATATATAAAGCAATAAAAATTCTCACGACGTTTGTGTTATGGTCGAAACGTCGTGAGAATTTTTATTGTTTTATATATATTTTATTATTTTATTGTTTCCCTTCAACGTGACTTTACCGAAAGAGCTAAGAATATGTATTTGCAGCAGTTGGACTTTATTTTTTTTTACAAAATAATGCATAATGGGTATTTCTATGCATAAATGTAAACAAAGATAATAAGCAATGTATAACATTGAACAGTACAGCACACGCATTGTATATCCAAACCATAACAATATTGAATGTGTCCAACAACTAATTACTTTTTGAGAAATTACAGATTCCCTTTGCTGCAAAAGTGTTGAAATGTCATTAACAGCCAATTCAATAGGAAACATCACTTGTTAGTGGTATCATGTTTGTTAATATATGGCAAAGTCAACTCCCTTTACAGACATTGTAAATATACAAGTTCACCAATGTGTGTATATAGTTCCTAGACGTCATTCACAGTAATAGCCTGCTTTCTGGAGGGTATACAGTATAATTAATATGTCAATATGTGTGTGGTGTATTTCCTTAGTTTCTGTGAATTACTTATTGGACGACATCGAGAAGAGACATTTTTGTCGAATTCGCGAAAACAATCTCAATGTTTCCAGAGCTGCGATGCATGTGGTGAATACGAGACGGTGGTGCTCCTTAATAAGTAACGTCACAAAGCAGTCCTTCAAGAGCAGCATGTGGCTCCGGAGCCGCAGGTTGCTGACTCCTGCCCATGGTAAAGTGGGCTCACATGGTAAAGTGGACTCCCACGGTAAACTGGACTCACATGGTAAAGTGGGCACACATGGTATAGTGGGCTCACATGGTAAACTGGACTCCCATGGTAAACTGGATTCCCATGGTAAACCGGACTCCAATGGCAAACTGGACTCACATGGTAAAGTGGGCTCACATGGTAAAGTGGACTCACATGGTAAAGTGGACTCCCATGGTAAACTGGACTCCCATGGTAAACTGGACTCACATGGTAAAGTGGGCACACATGGTAAAGTGGGCTCACATGGTAAAGTGGACTCCCATGGTAAACTGGACTCCCATGGTAAACTGGACTCACATGGTAAAGTGGACTCACATGGTAAAGTGGGCTCACATGGTAAAGTGGACTCCCACGGTAAACTGGACTCACATGGTAAAGTGGGCACACATGGTAAAGTGGGCTCACATGGTAAACTGGACTCCCATGGTAAACTGGACTCACATGGTAAAGTGGACTCACATGGTAAAGTGGGCTCACATGGTAAAGTGGACTCACTTGGTAAAGTGGGCTCACATGGTAAACTGGACTCCCATGGTAAACCGGACTCCCATGGCAAACTGGACTCACATGGTAAAGTGGGCTCACATGGTAAAGTGGACTCACATGGTAAAGTGGACTCCCACGGTAAAGTGGACTCCCATGGTAAACCGGACTCCCACGGTAAACTGGACTCCCACGGTAAACTGGACTCACATGGTAAACTGGACTCCCATGGTAAACTGGACTCACATGGTAAAGTGGGCTCACATGGTAAACCGGACTCCCATGGTAAACTGGACTCACATGGTAAAGTGGGCTCACATGGTAAAGTGGACTCACATGGTAAAGTGGACTCCCATGGTAAACCGGACTCCCACGGTAAACTGGACTCCCACGGTAAACTGGACTCACATGGTAAAGTGGGCACACATGGTAAAGTGGGCTCACATGGTAAAGTGGACTCACATGGTAAACTGGACTCCCACGGTAAACTGGACTCCCACGGTAAACCGGACTCACATGGTAAAGTGGGCACACATGGTAAAGTGGACTCCCACGGTAAACTGGACTCCCACGGTAAACTGGACTCACATGGTAAAGTGGACTCACATGGTAAACTGGACTCCCACGGTAAACTGGACTCCCACGGTAAACTGGACTCACATGGTAAAGTTGTCACACATGGTAAAGTGGACTCACATGGTAAAGTGGACTCCCATGGTAAAGTGGACTCCCACGGTAAACTGGACTCCCACGGTAAACTGGACTCACATGGTAAAGTGGACTCACATAGTAAAGTGGACTCCCACGGTAAACTGGACTCCCATGGTAAAGTGGACTCACATGGTAAAGTGGGCTCACATGGTAAAGTGGACTCCCACGGTAAACTGGACTCACATGGTAAAGTGGACTCACATGGTAAAGTGGACTCCCATGGTAAAGTG